AATAATCATTTTTCTTTTATTCACGTTTAATTTATTGCAATTTGAAAAAAACTGCAATTAAAAAAAAAGAAAAAATAATTTTCCTTTTTATTTTCTGTAATATTCGTGCTATTCATTTTATTTTTTTTATTTCAATTTCTATTTTTTTTTATTAGTTTTATTTGTAATAGCTTTACATTATTTTTGACTGTATATTTTTAAGATTGTATATTTTTAAGATTATACAATATATAATTATTTGATGAACGTGATAATTGCCGAGATATTAAACAAAAGCGAACAGATTTTTTAAAACTTCATTGATTTAATATTCATGGAATTGAAGATGAATCTGATTGAAAATATCATTAACTTTTTTGCAATTATAAATTTCACTTTTATACCATATTTATCAAAATAAATAACTTGAAAGAATAATTATCATTAACAAATTTACTAAGAAATAACGTCGTGGCAAATTATCACGAACAAAGTAAAGCAGAATCTGAATAATAAAAAATTTCATATCTTTTCAATGTATTTATAATTTAAACATTCACAGTTGAGATATAAAATTACATTTTAATCAAATATTCATGTTTTTACAATATTTTCTCTTATTTCTCTATTTACTTATTCTCTTACAATGCATTGTCATTATAATTTTATGTCGATAGTTTATATTATTGTATTAATTTAATGATCAAACAGCCTATTATTTATGGAATCCATTTTCATCTTCTGTCAGATCTGATCTCTTCAAATGCAAATGATTAATTATCTATGCTTCTTAGGCAGGTTACGCAAAATCTACTTCACTAGCCGTATCAAAAAATTCACATTTACTAGATCTAATTAATTCGAAAGCGTCGATTGATGTCTCTTTGAGCATGGAATTGCAAGTTTCTCCTGTCAATGAGGAGACCGTATTCTCCAAATTGAAAAAGAAGCGAATTCAAAAATTAAACGGTCCAGACTCACCTCTTTATAAAGTTATCTGGCCATTTATCTACATTGCGCGAGTGTTTGGCTTCGCTCCTTACAACTTTTCGCAGGATCGTATAATGCCGTCGAACATCAATCTGATCTTCACGATGATCGCCACTATTTTTTATAGCTATGCATTGTACGAAGTATGCGTGAAGTTTACGAATATTAAAAGAGATATCCCTGTCCTCGGACAACTGGAAGATGTAAAGGTCAGTGAAAAATTAAACAAGAGCAAAAGAGCAAAAATAATAGAGTAGAAAATCAAATGGAAAAAAAAAATAGAGAAAATAAATTATAATATTTAATTAATAATAAATTAATTAAATTATAAAATAAATAAATTCAAGATAAAATTACTTATTCAAATCCTCGGGATGCACAAGCCTGCTTTTATATTAGATTTATCTTTACTTTTTTGGGGTCTTTGAAAGGATCTAGTTAAGTAGTAAAGATTTTAAGTTTCTTTAAATCATTTTAACTTAATATAATAATTAAAAATAAATTGCCCAGGTGCTTATTAACTACAGCGTGGTGATGTACGAAGTGGGCTTGACGATGTTTACGAGAAATAGCTTTGTTAGGATTTGGGCTGCTTTACAGGATTACGACGAAAGTGTTAGGCAACTTGGCTATTCTCGCAAAGAGACGTGGACCGCGATTGTTGCGTGGTTCTTCGTAATTGTGACTACGGTCATCTGGATCGTCATCAATCGATCGGGAATGTACGCTTTCATGGAGTCATGGTTTCATAATGTGAGATATATGCTGCCTTATCTCGGCACATTGGTATCTGTCTACAAATTCGTGGCGGTAGTTATGTTTCTAGGCCAACGCTTTCGTCACCTTTAACGCAATTGCGCTACAAAATTTGCCGCCGGTGACAGGCAGAGGAACCGTTACTGTTAGCAAAAAGGTTGGTTTTATTTAACTCTTTTAAGAAGACCAATAATTATAATACCATATAATTTAAAAATAATAATATCTATATAACGCAGATTTTTATATATATATATATATATATATATATATTGATTAAATTAATAA